GACCGAATCAAACGCACCCTTAGAACAAAATCATGAGATTTTTCTACGGGAAGGTTGTTCTTTTATCAATTCACAAAGCGATGAGACAAGATTCTTGTCACGGTCAAGATGGACAAGGAATTTCCAAGACATCTATATAAAAGAGTGTGTCGATCCTCAAAAGTGATTTAGAATTCAATCTTGGACAGAAATTATAGTATCCCTTGCAGGACCAATTTGTAAAGATTTAATTTGAACTTCTACTTTTGCTTTCTTGTTAAGATGCTTGCACCTTTATCTAGTTTGTGAAAAAGGGTATAATGCCACTTTCCAGCTGTTGGAAATGGGAAGCATATATCACTTGGCAAAAGCCCATTCATATTTGCACGACGTTCATTCATGAAGGATCTATCTTACAAGAAAATTAAGTTCAATACTAAATATTATGCTCTTGTTTGGTAAGGATTAAAATTAAATTATCAGTAAATTTTGATAAATTTTTTTTTTTTAATATGTGGTTAAAAAGTTGCGGGACCCATAAAATACGTGGTTTATATTGATCGTTTAATTTTAATTTAAATTAAAATTTGATTTAAATCAATACCAATCAATGGCTAAATATATTATCCACATTGAATTTTTGAAACGCTGAAAAAAATTAAAAAATTATTGATCCTAAATATCATATTTTTTTGAAAAAACAAATTATTGCTAATAAAGATTGCAGATTAGAATAATCCAGCAGCCAACTCCCAACTTACATTATTATTGTTATTTTATTTTATTTTTTATTACTTAAAAGTTTCTTTTTCCTGTTCTTCGATGGTCAACATTTGAAACACTGAATTCTTTCCCATTTTTCAAAAGCAAAAAGGAAATGTAACGTCTTCAAAATAAAGCAACTCAAAGTGGAGACATTTGACCTTCTCAAGCGGGTTAGTTTCATAGTAATAGAAAACAGAGGTCAACAAAAGGCTTTAGAGAGCAAAGAGAAGTCTTGGGTGAATAGTTTCGTTTAAAAATAATTTTTACTGACATTTTCACTTACATAGAAAAGGTATCTGTGGTGATAAAAATTAGGTTATGTTATATGTACCGAATTTTTATACCAAATCTTTTACACCCCACTCATATTAGGAGGTGGAGACGACCACAAGCCGGAATTTTTAAATACACATGGGATCCGAGCGCATTGTGAGAGGGGGACACCATTCGGTACATTTAGACTAATTCATAAAAAAATATATTTTCAATTAAAAGAGAGCTTAACCAACAAGCTTAGTTACATTTTCTGAAAGAGATCAATTGTCGATCTCGATGATAGATTAACTACGACTGGATAACGTGATCCAGCCTAAGTTTGATTCCAACTTTTCTCTACACTCATTTTCAGCTACAGTTTTTTATTTTTTTTCAAAAAAAAAAATTTTCACATTTTTTCGTAATATTTTTCTATTTTTAGATCGTTCATTATTACGATTGTTCGATGCAATGTCGTGTTAGTTTTGATTATATCTGATTAATATAACTTTACGTTGTTACTTGATGCACAAATTGCAATTAGTTGTCACCTTCAAAATTGGTTTGTAAATGGATGATGAATCTCTTTTGAATTTGAATTGCCACATCCTACAAGATTTGTTATTCTTTGGCGTAATGGTTGAATGATAAGCTGGCGAATTAATGAACCTTCAAATACGATGGTATCAATTTCCAGTAATTGTGTAAAGTGCAAGATTGATTGATCTAAATATAAATTTTAACAGTTTTTCAAGTAAAAATCAAGAGGGAAGGAAGACGGGTAGCTGTCTAAAAGACATATAATCCATCCATCATGTTACTCAGGGACGGATCCAGGACCGGATTAATACGTAAAAAAAATAAAATTACACATAATTTTTTTTTACATATTTTTTTTCTGACAAAAAAAATCAGTGGGCGTAGCCCGGCCCAGCCCCCCCTTCCATCCGTCCCTGCTGTTCCTCAATCAAGGAATGGCTACTGCCACCATTTTAAGTAGAGACAACTGCATTTGAAATAATGTTATTTATCATTATGATAATGGAATATCAGTGATATATAACAGTCCACGTGGAATCGTGAAATTGTGCAATTCAATTTTTATAAGAGAGAGGTGGAGAAGAGAGAGAAAAATGTGATGGATAATGTATTGCTACATCATTGATAAATAGCATTACTCATTCTTTATGGCCATTGCGATTAACTAGGGTTCACATCTTTATTTGGCTGCAATTAGAGATTCATCTTGTGCGTTCACATGACTAAGTTTAAAGTCTAGCTATAATACCGATTATTGAGGAATTGAAGTTCATCCCAAAAGATTTAACATGTCGGGAGGACTAGCCGAGGATTTTCTTCATATTTTCCCACCGATTATACAATATTAACATACATTTACTCTCTGAAACAATCAACAATTCAGTTTAGGTTATTATGCTAAAACATTGGCAGCAGATACACACCATCTCTTGAAATATAAGGTGCTTGGATTTTAAAATAAGTTCCTTTTTTATTAAGCCAACATGTTCGAAAAAATTCACTTATTTATAAGCAACATCAATATAACAATTTACCTAAATGCCCTTATAGACCAAGTTTTTTTAAATACAATTTCCAAGATGAATTGATAATTTGTCAGAAATTTAAAGCTAATATGGTAAATGTGATGATCAATTCTAAAAATAAAACATAAATACAACGGGAAGCAATTAATGCTTTTCCTCATTTTGTCTTAAAAATAAGCCCCCTTTTTGTTAAGCTAAAATATTTGTGTGTTTTTTTGTGCTTATAAGATAATTTGACCACTTATAATCTGGATGCAAACGTGTTATGTTTAAAAATCAATACCATAAGCGTAGCAATTGTAAAAAGGTTTCCTTATAAATAAGTTTTGAAATAATTTTTTGTCTTCCATTATTCCAAAATTGCAAATAATTACTTATTTTCAAGTAAAAGTAAGAAAAAAAAAATTACTTTTTTTATCCTAACCACCACTCTCTTGGAATTAAGAACATTTATATCATATAGCAATTAGCATATAAGGTGAAAAACCCAACCAGCCATGGCCAAAAATTTGCTGCTATTAGTATTTGATCAGCAACAGAGATTTTTGGGTAACCAAATTCCAACATACATGCCTCATCAAACAATCCCAAAACTAATTATGTAAACTATACTAAGAAACAGTATTTTTCTATTCTTGTGGAGCAGATACAGCTTCTATTAGGCATGATCTCATGATCTTCCCCAGTTTCGAACAAGCATCGAGGCATAGCTGCATTGCCTGCATACAAGATAATATTAGTTCTTCGGAAGTAATCTTGATTTTGACATGATTTACAATGCCTGGAAAACACGCATAAAAATGCAAATTTCATCATTAGGCCTCACAGAAAATTTGGCTCCTGAAGCCGACGCAAATTTTAAAGCAACTTAAACGTGCATAATAACAATCAAACAAGCAACAAGTATGTATACCTCGTGAACCTTTGGGGTCGACCATTCTCCTGTCACAGTCATCTGAGTAACTTCATTACGAGATGACATGCAAGTAATCATTAGGCCCCCATCTTGATAGCTTTCTTCTTCTGAAACTGGATCAATGACAAGGTTCTTCCCCAGACATGACTGGTAATGCATAGAGACATTGTAAGACATCATAGAAATCAAAGGATATTTTACGAACTGAATTTATTTAGTCGTATGTAAGAACAATGTTTCTTACTAGAAGTGGACACATGGGGGTATTTATCTCCTAGAAAGTAACAAATAGAGACTTCTAGGTCATTGAAGACAAACTTAAAAGAAACAACAATTGATGCCCGCAGCGGTTCATTATGATTGTAAACCACTAATAATTCAAGAAAAAATGATGGACATCCCAATGGATTTATTATATGGAAGACTTTCATATTTACATACTTTAATTAAGTTTTATTTTAGGAAAATGTTTGTTGTATATCACCATTTACAAATTCTTTTACAAATTGATGGGGTGGCGATAAATTGCATTTTAACTGTCAAAATTTCTTCCCACTTAAACGGTTGTGCTTGTGTAATGCAGGTTAATGACAAGAAGAAATTGGGAAATTTTTTTCTTTTTTATTTGGTTGCTGAGATTTTGATTCAATCAAATCTT